CGATCACAGTACTTTCCGATCAACAATAGTGAAATATAAAACTTTACAAATAGTAATTATCATTATAAACATATCCAAATAAACTTCTCAATCCAAACAAATCAATAAGCCAACCAACCTCTTGATAAATATCACGAAATATATATCGATACGGAAATGTAACGTAAAATAGATCCATATAAAATTCCCTGTGCAAAAAAAGGAAATAAAAGAAAATGAGAGTTTTTTTTTAAAAAGTGCTTTGTTTCCAAAAGCTAATTAAGGTAATCGCAAGTCATATAATTTGAAAATGAAAAAAAAAAGACTAAGAGAAGTTAAAATTTGTAAGAAATTAATATTAACTAGGGAATATTCGAGGAGAACCGAACAGATTTTCTTATCCCAAAACAAGACTCCTCAGAATCGAGAACACAAACATAAAATAACAATCAGGAGTTTAATGTAGAAGCGTTAAACTAGGTAGTGATTGAGTTTGTGTTTAATGAAATCTTGGCACGAATTCGGAAAATGTCATTTGTAGACTAGGTTAGACATCCGTCTACCAACCAAATGATGAGTATGCTGAGCAGCGATTCGCTTCATGGATGTAAATCTAACGTCTAAGAATGAAGTGTATTTATAGGTTACTAGAATTTGACCATAAATGATTTCGAAGCATTCTTCTTGTATAATGGGATCACCGAGTGAGTGTATGTGTGTGTGATACAGCCAACATGGATCAATCATTCACAACAATATATTGTGTTAATAGCAACCTGTCTAGATCCATCAGACTGAGTATCCGTCAAACGGCTAAAGCGATAGCTCTTCGGATCGATAAGTCAGAGATATGCATCCCGTAGAAATATACCCAACCGTTGCTTTTACCTCGTCCAACTTCTGACCTAAACGGTCAACAATCACTTTGATGATATGAGAATGACACTCACCCCTATTTACTAATTTTTTACCTGATCCATATTTTTCTAAATATTACGTCACCAAATATCGATTTCATTTGAAACTATAATATTATTATCTCTTTCATCTCATGTTACCCACATTTATTCTGATCATTATATCTACAATTTCGTCCTCTTTTTATGAAAATCGTGTCTAAATAAGATAAGCATAAGCTTCCGCTTTAGACTACATTAATTTCCAGCTATAAATGTACATGCTCTTGTGAGACAGGTTACATTGACCGCACAAAGTGTACACATTTTCCAAACACGTCTCAAAATATTACTCGATATGGCTTTTATAATTAAGAAATCCAAATCTGTTACTAGCTCAATACAGGAACGTCTGATCAACTCTGAGCATGTTTCTCCAAAGAAAGTGTCACTTCAGTCGAAAGAATTGAACCAAAGAGAGGTCGAATCCAAAATTTATACACTGCTGAGATGTTGATGATCCACCAATCCAAGCACGAAAATTGCATGCAAAAGCGATACATTCAACCGCTCATCGTTTCTTGACTCTAGTTCTCTTCTCAAGTACGTTTTGGGTTTTTTTCTTTCAATTATTACTTCTTAAACCGTAATCATTTATTATTAGTCTCTATCAATTTTTCATACATTTATTTTTTTCATTTTTTGTTACGTAATTGTCCGTCTTATACTTTTGACCCGTAAATTATTTTCATTCTCCTAATCTACTCTAAACACTTGATCATTACACAATCTTTTTTTCGATATTTGAAATCTTGGATCACTTTAAGGGGTGATCTGTTCTATCGTTCTATAGACCTGAATATTTATCAAACACCTATAAATACGAATGTGACAGCTTAAATATCTCTTATTTTGATTATCTTACAATGTTATTTAAACTTCCAATATGGGGTTATAAAGACTATTGAACTGAGATCAGTTCGTGTATTCAATGCAATTTTATTTAACCTATAAACTTATACAAAGTCGTTCAAAATTATTAACAGATAAACATTGACGAAGTTATTGCGTTTAAACAAGGTAATCGCTATCATAGAACAGACACCAGATTAATGAATTCTTAAAGACAATGTTGACACTCTTGCTTTACGACGGTGACTTATGTTACCGAATTTTTAAAAGGAATTAATTTATTTTCTTTATTTAAAAAACGTCTTGAGATTTATATGAGTTTTACTCATTTTTTTAATTTGGGATTAATTCTTTTATTTCCAATATGGGGTTGTGGAAATTGTTGGGTTTCACTAAAATCATGAGCCGATCAAAGTTAGGCCACCATTGAAAATCTAAAAGCACTGAACGCACGTTTTGTCTTAGTATGAGCAAACACTTAAGCTCCAGAGGCGAGAACAAAGGTTTCGAGTTCCATTTCCGAGTGTAAGATCGTCTATGCGTACTGCTGAGAAGTTCCATAATAGGACAAAACCTCTATCCAGTCCTTCTATTATTCCTTTTTGTCATTATTGTTATGACGCGAATTTGAATATCAATCTTTTCTACTAGAATTTTCATATTATCTATCACATAAGTATCCTACCACTTAAACAGTTTTTATGATGATTGTTTCATATTTATTACCATTTTATTAATCCTTAACGAAGAGAACATTTCTGATTTAATCATTATAGAGTGTGCATACTGATTTTTAATGATTATTGTAACGTTGTATGCAGTTGATGAAAAACCATTGAAATAAAAGGAATTCAGATTATTCTGCTACGTTTGTTGCTTTGTTGCTTGATTTAAATTTATTTAACTTACTAACATTGAACACTTAGTCATATTAAATTAATAACAATTTTGTCATTTTACGAACAAATCTAAATGTACATAGGCTATAACTTTAAACGATGTATTCTGCTTTAAATCTAGACAGTTTCTGGATGATCAATGTGAAACCCGAGGAGAATTTGTTGAAAAGGCTATTCTTCGTTTATATATATATATATATATATATATATATATATATATATATATATATATATATATATATATGAGAGAGAGAGAGAGAAAGAGATGAATGTGAACTTACCAAGAAGGATTGGCTCGAGTAAGTAAACCCATTTTTAAATGTTCTGTACGATGTTGAATATTTTCTGGTCTTTGACGTATTTTCAAATTCTAAACAGAAGAGTATCAAACGAAGTTGATAAGTATTGGATGATAAAAATTTACGTAAATGTTTTTTTTGTTTGTAACCTTCCAATTAAAGTAATCGCGATTGAATAATAAGGTTTCATAAAAAGGTTTCGACACAGTAAATACAATTGAATAGTAAGTAGATACATCGGTTATCATTGAAACAGTGTATTTCAATATAGAGTTTATGTAAATCTATACTGAGTGAAATAATTTACATTATTATTCTAGTTTTAACAGAAAAATTTTCAAATCCAGTCTAAGATTTAGGCACAATGAATTGAATAGCAGAAAATCTTTCCAGTTGAAATTTTAGTTAGCCAGTATTCATTAGTAAGATGTATCTATCATCTTGAGGAAACTGATACAGTTTGTAAGGTTCGAACCCGGATGAATTAACTGTACAACAGTTTGAAAAGTTATCGATGACCAGCATCAACTATTATAATTTACTATTAAATGGTAATAGCTTTTATTTAAGTAATAATTATATTATATTGTAAAGGTTGTAAAAGTTGGAATTAATTTTGGAATTATTGTTATTCATACTATCGTTATGTAATTACTAAGTAACTGGATTATTATGTCTATGTATTCTCTTTATCATAAGCTTCTAGTTAACATACTAAGCCTTGGTAGATGACTTGTCATTAATTTGTTGCCAGCATATAAGTGACAGTCTACCCGGAGCCTAGAAACCATTTTTTTCATTAATATGTCATCGTGATTTTTTATTTTATGATATGATGTGGTCCATTATGTGTTGCATATAAACCGACGTATGTTTGAAACATAGTAATAATATGTATAGAAAATTTGTGCAGTCAAACATTTTAGTGAAAATTATTTACCTGAAATACAGCGATTGTTTGATCTTCACACATAATCACTGCATGCTCACAATTTACTTTCAATCGACTAGAAACAATACAACTGATATCATTTTTATTGTTATCATCATCCATATTAGTATTATTCGTTAACAAAACTTCTCTGTTTTTGCTGTCATTACTACTGCTAATGTTACTGTCAGTAGTAGTTATTGTCTTTGAATTATATTGAAGTGAGGTATTTTTTACACGTACTATGATAAAATGTTTACTTGTTAATAATTTAAAATGGAATTGAAAGTATGACTGAATTGGTTTTATGCTGAAATGCCAATCATTACCACTATTTAGTTCAACAGTATTAGCAGCAGTAGTATTGTTGATTGAAGGGACTAACAATTGGCCACTTGTATTTGATGAATTATTGAATGACTAGAATATAATGAAAAAAAACAAGAAATAAACAGCTAAGGATATATATATATAAGGGCCGTTTAGAGAAATCTTTATCCAGTGTCGTCAGAGGATGATTATCACCGATAGAGGTGGGTGAATAGTTCGATGAAAATGCCATTATTACAAGGAAAAAACCAAAAGATTTTCAACTTAAATATTGGCATAGGCCACTGAATAACAGGAGTGAACTTCACCCATATTGTTATCAGTATTAACAATTATACGTGGCGATGTCCACAGCATTCATATTAGTGTACTATTGGGTTGTGGTATAATGAATAGTAGTACTGATTTTAAATTTATCATTCCTGGATGAGATTCGAATGTCAAAATACGGGAGTAAAGAGATATAAGGACCAAAATGTGTTTAACTAAAGATTCGATCACAATTAGTCAATGCCGGTCATACAGTAGATAGCAACAAATCGATTGTAGTAATTTAGAATATGCCTACTACTTTTACTTAAGGGGATCGATCTTATCTCCCAAATATTGTAAAAGCTATAGGGATTAGAGCTAACAAACCAAGTCTTTGCAATTGTAAAAAATTTGCAACACCAATCTCGCTTCCTTGATCGAATTAAGCTTTGCAAACAAATTTAATGATTATTTTTATTCTCTTTTTCGTTTATTTTTCTTTATCCTTTTATCAAATATAGTTTTCACTGTGTACTAATTTGAAGTATCTTCCTATTATGCAATTTTGACGATTTTTGATGAATGTTATATCAATGTGTACTTTTCCAAGTTTTTGATCGACTTCATGTTATGAAACATTGACTGAAGTTTTTATTATTTTTGCTACAACCAGTAAACCTGTCAGTAAATTATCAATTTTTACTGTTTACTATGTTCTGTTATGTAACCTATTCCACTGTTGTTAATGACTCAAGAATTACTTTGATTGGTTTAATACTTTCATATATGCATATAAACACATCACGGTATATAATTGCTAAGTTTGAAGCGGTTACGAATTCACTTAGACTGCAAACGAAAACAAATACTCGATGACCAAAAACCAATAAGCTAACTATTTGATGTATCCCAGCCTCGCTAACTAGAGAAAGAAATCCAAGCTTGGAAACGAGCGATAACAACAAACACAAATCAAAACGTATATATACAACACAAAACAGTCCTTGGGGAGAGTTACCAAATAGCATACTAAAAGACACAACGAACCAATCGCACTTAAGATTCTCCCAAGTGGGAAATACGACATGAAGGTGAAAAGAGCACCATTGGCGCAAAAACAAATTCAAAATTTCTAAATAAAATTACAAAATTAGGTCCTTTCCTAAGTGAGTTCTGGGAATCTAACGTCCCCAACAATAATACAACGAAGCACGGTGAGGATGTAATTGTAAACAGTATTATTGATTTAAATGTATTGTTGAAGTTTAACAAAACTGACCACAATGCAGTCAACAAGACTTAATTGAAACATATTTAGAAACATATCTGAAGATATGAAGATAGATTGTCGTTTTTTTATAAATTATTTCAAATTAACTTAAAGAAGCATCATCTATATACCACATTACTTAGTTTAAAATGAAGAGCAACAGTTCAGCCTATAAGATGGTAGATATTAACTGACGGAAAAGTCTTGAAATGAGAGCTCAACGCATACTGCGAAATCCAGATTTCTTTCAGCCACTTTAACACAAAAAAGTTTTTGTCTTATAAATACATCGTTAACTAACTGTCGAAGATTATTTAGTTACCGAACATACACTACATGTTAAGTTTCAGTATTCCTTCATAATTGTTGTTAAGTTCGTCTACATTCTTTTTATCTCATCAAGTCGTTTGCTGTGCATTTTTTATGCTACTTATTAATATTCAGTAAACAGTGATATTGCTAACAATTTCAACGCATATGTTGTCGTGCAATATCCCAAGATATTTACATATACTTGCTATATTTATTATTATAATAACTTTCTCTCAACCAGTGTAAGTTATTTTCAATTTTGTTCAGTGGTTGAATCTTTATCTAAATGCAATGGTATCCATATTTGTATACTCTTGGTTCCCTTTCTGCTTGTTTATACTGTTATCAATATTAGACAGTTATCAGCTGTCCTTGACAATATCGTATGTTGTTATTACTATTGCAGAAAGCCTTTTTCTTTTTAGACCTATATATGCGCTAATCACCTAACGAGTTGAGATTGTAACTAATTTACGCTTAATTCCCTAATAAAGAACCGCTATTTAGACAAATTATTGTTTTATGAACTTAATCCATATCTCAATTGCGTGATTAGACGCTTCGAAAACCTGGAAGTACTGGGCAATCGCTTCGTCCTAATATATGACTCCCCAGAAGTGTGCATACACGATCATTTAGTCTTCGTCTTCAGAAAATTAGTAAAAAAGATTATCAGCAATATATTAATTAATTAAAAACTTACTACAGTATTGAACTGTTTGAACAACTTCCTATGGAATTGTTTCCAAGAATGTAATAAATTGTAATAGCACAAATGAAATCCTAGTGACCAGATGAATTCACACGATTGATTATTTGGTGAAATTTCAATAGACTGATTAAGATTTTTTTATTACAGGTACATCAATACAACAATAAAGGAAAAAAAATTATAATATTTGTAGTTCAATCTAAGAAATAGGTTTAATAATAACAAAAGGAATTTGAATGTTCTTCACAGGAACACTGAACAAATTATCATAGAAGATTGATAAGATTTGACCTATGGATAATTAACTCATAACTAGATCATATGTTACACATGGGTTATCAAATAACCGACCTTAAATTGACAATTATATTAAGTGACAAACAACAGTTGATTGACAAAAATCGTAAACAGTTCAAAACAGAGTGAATCAGAGTAGACAAAAAAGTAGTCCTGTATTGTTACTATAAACAAATATTTTCTCACAGCTTATATTTATCAAGATTGAACGCAGATAAAAGCATTAAAATTATACTATAAAAGATAACCAAGTTTAAGATAAGCAGTTGTTCTACTGATAATCACTTTGTGTCACTGTATCAATATGAAGTTCGATGGCTAACCCTGCCACCTAAATTCGTTTAGTATAACTATTTTACTTATCAGTAACTAGCATATCATCGGGTAATATTTTGCCTTGTATTTCGTTGGTTAATCGTAAACTAACCCATCACTTATGTGCATAGGAGATCGTAGAATTTTCATTGCTTACATCACGAACTGATCTTAGCTAGACAATCAATGAAAACTAAGAAGGACTAAATAGCTTTTTCTTCCTAGTATGGAGTTAATCAGCAGTACCCACTCACGACCCCACCAGGGATCGAACATAAAACATTCGGATCTGGAAAGCAGTGTGAACAGATCAAGCACATGATATAGAACTTGAAGTGTTTGGGTTCGATCAGCGGTGAGATCGTAATACCGTGATATTAATAAATCTAATATTAAGAGGGAAAAGCCCTTTCAGGTTTTCAGTGGTAGTCTAGCTAAACACAGTCTGTCATATTCACTAAAAATGTTCTTTAATTTGTTGATACAGTTGTTTCTATCTACTCGACTACAAATTGAAATGGTCGTTTGCGTACTTATCCGCATTGAACCAATTTGTTACACTTTACTTATCAGTAACGAGACAGCAGATTTACGAAATAAAACAAAAAGAATACCAGTGTAGATATTCACACTGCAAAACGACATCAGTGCCCGTCGCAAATAAATATATGCCGAAACCTTATAACATAAACGTTATATCGAGGCAATGTATTCGAGGATGAATATCTTCAAAACTAAAAATGATCAAGAGAGAATGCAAACCCTTTCTAATGATAATTTTAACAATTAACACTGAAGAATTAAACACATGAAAAACAAACGTACTCGTTCGGGCAATTTAACATCAACATGAATTTCAGGTAATGACAAAACTAGATCGTTTTTTATATGGCAACTAGACAGTATTGCATAACGACATGGTGATGAAGTTGAGGATAATGACGCTGATGTTGACGAACAGCAAGATACAGTATCCATACCATTGTCCGGTGTCTTATTACAACTGTAAACTAATTTAGTTCCAGTTATAGTGATCTGTGATAGGCTGTCTAATTTCAATGGTTGATACATAGGATTAATTGAACGAAATTGTGCAATGAAACGTTGACTATCTACACGTAGCATAAGAAATGCTATATTTGAAAACAAAAACACCAAAAAATCAATGGTATATATAAGTATTAAAGGTTGACGGATGGCAATAATTCATTTTTACATACGTACGCTACAGAAATGAAGAAAATACCAATCTTCCAAGACCGATGTAACTAGAAGAGGAGTAAGGGCTGGGAATGTAAAATCAGCTATTTGGAAGCTAAGTACTTTTACAGTAAAAAAAATCTGCATATATGAATATGTATACGGCTCTACAGAGATTACAATTTCAGTTTTTAAATCACAAACTGAGCTGATTTAGACTATCGTGGGAAACCTGATAGCACTGAATGACGGTTTCATTATAATATGGGACATCTCAGCAATCCACATCCGTGAACCTAACATAGCGGATCCAAACATAAACATTCGATCTTCCACGTGGAAGCTTAACCTTTATACTAATGAGTCGGAATCCAACGGTGTTAGTGCCTCACTTCAACCAATTCATGATCTTGCGCAACTCTTCATCTGTTACCTGTGGTGGATAAATGAATCACATCCAACACGATTGGCCTTCATTGTTTATGGCTTCCCACCAGAACTGTGAGAATTTAAAACTAGAAGCTAGTAGCTAATGAGCACATGATTGTCATCAGTATGGGGATTTTGGGATTGTTGTATTTTCACAGTTGGAATTACGAGTCGATGTAAGCTAGACTACCATTGGAAACTTGGAAGAAATGGGCGGCCGTCTCATCCTAGTGCCAGACTATTCAGCACTGAGCATCCACGAACCCACATGCAGGACTCGAAACCTGGACCCTCGACCTCGAGCGCGAACGCTCAATGCTTAGACCACTGAGACGGCGTCTAACAGTGCTCATGTCTAATTTCGAACAATTCAGGATATTACGCCTCCCATACTAAGACGAAACAGCCATCCAGTGCTCCCAGGTTTCCAATCGTAGTTCTAAAAATTCTCTCCTTTTTCATTAACATATAAAAACTGAACGTTTTTGTGTGTATATCACACATTTTATTGCCCCCAAATGCCCTGGTATGGCCAACGGTGAAGAGAGTTAGCTCTTCCTAAAGAAACGCTCTAATCTCACACGGACATGTGCATACAACCAGTCACAAGGAAGTCCTACTCACTGCCTTCTCACAGTAAAGGTGTTGTTTACAAAATTGAGTGGATCAGAAACGAATTTCCGGAGCTTTAACTGGGTTGGTAGATACGGACGATACACCTAAAGGAGTTGGAAAACCCCGACACCAAACCTATGGTGTACATTGGTTTCAGGATCCGGAGGGAACAAATGGCGTATGAACCAATTGGTCACCGGCTACCATGGGACTGCATCTTCTGACGCTGATTCACTGGCTTGTGGATCAGACCTTTAGGTCGAATGCTCCGAACGTGACCCCCTATGAAAACCACCTGCTTCGGTCTGGACACCCGAGCAGTAACACATCCCACACAAAAATCAAGTGACTTGTGTGACACATATGTATTTGATGCCCCTTTGTACCAATATTAATGTGTTCGAATAAATAAATAATAACACAAAAGTACCCTTAACTTAGGTCAAAAAAGACGAAGAAATGAAAAATTCACAGATAGAGATTATGTTGATAGTTTGATATTCATATACTGACAAAAGACAATGAGTTTTAAACGTTTTTGAATCTTATTCCTTCAAATTAATGTGCATCGCTTATTACTCTATCCAATATGTTACATATAGTATATGCTATATTGTTACGTAGAACTGAAGGTTTCCTATGGAACTGAAAGTTCACTATGAATATTGTAAATAATTTGGCATTACATTCGCAAGTGTTTGCTGACTATTTGATATGCGAAATGATTTTGCTGGATAATCGATCTCACTGACATTATTAGTTGCTTTCCAAATTTCTCAAAGGCCATTGTCACTGGGGCAGTGTAATGCATATCTTTAGTGTTAATAATAATGAATTTAATAGCCATGCCAGCGAAATAGGTTAAAATTGACATTTTCATACTGCACATAGTTGACTGACGTGGTTTTCGATCGCAAATAATATAGTTAATGACAATATATACGTATGATACTAATGGTTCACTAAAGTTTTAGGTACCTGTATGGTTGCACCAAAGGAATGAGCCTTGCTGTTCAAGTTGTAGTGTCAAAGCATGGATAGTGTCTAATCCTCCTGAAAAACCCATATAAATCTTACACTAACTTGTTAAACTTCGGCGTTACTAATAAAATAACATAAATGAATCGCCCTCTCCGAAAGCTTTCTGAAATGAAGAAATGTATGGTATTTATAAACCATGAACAAGATAATAAGACACTAAATTTAAAGACTAGTTTTAAGCTAGACAACCGCTGAAAACTAAGAAGCATTTTTTTAACTATTTCATCCTAGTACGTCATTCCACAACCATGACCATCATCAACCTCAACCACAGATCGGAACTCTCATAAATAATACTGATAATAGTAAACTAAGCAACAACAACACAAAAACTTACAATTATTACTGTTTATAAAAAAAATGTTGATATTCTCTAAAAATCCATCAAAATGAATTGGATTATTCAGATAATTTTCTGTAAAATAACACTGAATTGAAGAGGATCGATTTGTGGACAATTTGTTGACATGATTATTATAACACTGATAAACATTCTCATTTGAATAATCCCAATGTATATAATTAATTAATTCATTCATTTTAAATGATGGCCATTCTATTTGCAATATGGTGGATTTTAAACTAATTTGATATTTATGATTCTATAGTAGAGAATAAAAAGTAGATAATCAGTTAAATTGAATTATGTTGATCAATGAAGAATATCTGGTTATATCCCTCTAGATATAAACACGATCTATAAGTGAAGAGATTGGGTAATGTAGCAAAGAATGCCTTGTAATGGTACAGATGCATTCATTCTTTAGTCTCTTCTAAATTATTCATATACATTTTCCTCTTACTCATTCTATTCGATCAATATTCGAATATTCAGTTTTTCTTACAGTCGCTGATAATTTTGGTATTTCGACTAGTTCACTGATCATCATCATCATGTTAATTTTATCTCACTGCGTTGATATCATATTAGTTAATGCACTATACGAACTAAGATCTATATTATGAATAGTTGACGCGTATATTCATTGACATATAATCCAATCTTGTTTTAAGCCCTACTTAATGAAAGGTCTAATGATACTGCAGTGAACGAGAACACAAGTGAGGACAACCAAATGTATTTCAACACAACATTACAGAATGTTTTGGTAAGGAGATCCATACAGTAAATACCTCATTTGCAAAATATTTATCGATTGTCTCAGACTTCGTCGTTCCTTCGTTTCCATACGAATCACTCTGTTCTCGTCCTCTTCTCTTCAATCTGCTCAAACTTCTGCCGCTAGACATTCCACTTTCGATTGGTGGTACATGCTACTTATATCTGTCGAAATCAGTAGCACACGTCACAATACTACCGCACGACTAGTAAAACCAAAGCACATTTAAAGATAAGTTTACACATCCAATTAACAGCTTATATTTAACCACTAAGGTTTATTACATTTGCATGAACAAGACCTGATATTTGTTTATTTTACTTATTCAGTCAATCATTAACAGCACTACGAATAAAATAAAACTTACCCAAATATCGATTCCATGTACATAGAACAGGTCATCCCAATGATGGTTATTTAAAGTAGGTAATTCATGTATCAATGAATAAATAACAGTGGACTGATTACAACGAATAGAATAAAGACTATGTAAACAGGATAATGATGATGACGGTGCCTGCGAAGTATCTGTTCCATTAACAATAGATCCATGAATTTTATCCAATAAACAAACATGAAAATTCGCTAGCGTTAAATTTAAATCGGTTACATTCAACAAATCAAATGATTCTGTATAAAAAAGAATGATAGAGAAAAGAGTTAGAAGCGTTGCATATTTTAAAAAAATTACAACAGAAATAATGTTTAAGGCAAAAGATACTTCTGTTGGAGTCTCAATGTAGATATCAATATCGGGATTTGTCAGTGCTATATTTGGAGAGATTACGAGGTCATCTAAATCAGAGAACGGAACGAAAAATCAGAGACATAACGACAAGACAAGCTAAATTATTCCAATGCGTCCCAGCCCTGCTAACTACAGGGAGAAGACCTGGTTCAGATGAGGGAAAGGTATATTTCACAAGTAACCAGAAGCACAAAATAGCAACCCATCAATGACATTTAAAGTCCTTTCAAGTAAGAAATACAATCTGGAAGTAAAAATGGGCAATTTCAGCGCGGAAACGAGAAATTCAATTTTCAAAAGTAAAGTTACAAAAATAAGACGTTTACCAAGTGATTTATGGGGATCAAGCGTTCCCAACAATCAAGTGCATCCAGTTAACGAGTCGTAAATAGGACGAAACTTGTGTATAGTGAATTTTACTGTTAGCCACTATCCATTTATTCCATAAAACATGTAATATAAAGTTGTTATATCGAGGCAATCAAAATAGAATGTAATTATGCCATCAAAGATTGGTCGAAATTTCGGTTTTGTCTGTGAACTTGTAGCAGTACTTATCGCATCCCATAATCCGATCCACTCCTGTCCGAACAAACCCGAGCAGTGCAGGTATCATTTCTAAACCTATTCTGTATTTTAAAATATTTTCACATAATTAACTATTAATCTTTCTATACATCCTTTAAATTTTACTAACTTTATTGTACCTACTGAAGTGGAAAACTGTCATTCGAAATGACAGCTCATTGGTCTAGAGCTTAAACGTTCGCGTGATACTGTAATTCCTGAATTCCATTCTGTGTCAGAGTCGTGGTTGCGCGCTGCGTTTGACAGTAAGACGGAATGGCCTCTAGGTTTTCAATAGTGGTCTAAGATTAGTTCGTCAATCAAAATCTATTTTAAAAATTACCAAATAATTATATATTTGCACAGAAAACTAAAATTAACTAACTTTTCAGATTTAATTCATGAAAATCAAATTGAAGATTTATAAGAGAATTGGTAAAACCGAACTGTAATCCAGGTGACTTTAAATCAGGAATGAGTACAAGTAAAATCTGGAAAATGAAGATAAGGGGAAAGGTAATATTATAACTGATCATAACCACTATATTAATTACTTTTCAAATAAAAACAGAGCAAAAATAGAATGAGCCAATACTTGGTCTTCTGTCTGAAGCTGGAATAACCAAGTCATTTATAAAAGAATATATACAGTAGTAGAAATAAATAGTACATTATTAAATAGTAATAGTAAGTATTTCATGAAAAATTGGCAATGGTAAGTAATAACCTCAATTAAATTCACAATACAATATATTGGTGGCTTGCTTGAATATTTGAGCTACCTGTTCTTGACATCTAAATATCTCAACAAGTTGCCTGATTTTTGTTTTAACAAATCATGATGTCTGTTAATCGCATAACCTATTCAGGAGCGTTTATGAAGTGTTTACGACCTTTCTCTATACAAATTACAAAAATGTACAATCAGAGACATCGTGGTGGCTGGCAATATGCATTGAAAAGAAGGAACATTATTCAGATATCAACTCCTGAACTGATAACATCTAAATGGAGATCACTCAATATTTATCGCAAGGATCGATTAAGAAATAAGAAACGGAAATACTTTGTGCTGAGAATTCTATATTCTACCAAAAATATAATATTGAATAAAGCCATTAATGATAATACTGCTGGATCATTATTGTTTTTAATAATATTTGAATTTGGCATATTGTGATCAGTTAACTTCTCATTAGTTCTATAACTAAAACCTGATCAAATCTGCCAGGAAGTAAATAACACTTGATAGACGACTACCAATAAACAGTTGTTCGATGTCAACTATACAATTTTCTTCAAAATCACAAAAATTAACAGTATCATTCTATTTACATTTAGAGATTACGACAGCATAGTTTTAAGAAATGATCAGAAACTAAACACCAACTTCTTGAAACTTCTGTCTTTTTTTAATAGTGGCTCCATAGACATATGTATATATTCGAACAGAAACTAGATGGATAGAAGGTTATGGTAAAATAAACTCACTTTTGGGATTTTTCTACTTTTCAATCTTCCCATCATTCCAATCTGATTATGATCAGGATAGCGTTGTTCTGTATTAAAATCATCAATACAATTCAATGATTTACAATCTGTAGTAATAACACCATCGCCAGAATTATCATCACTGATAGTACTGTCAGATGTTTCAGATCCTTCTGCATTATGATGAATAATACCAGTACTACCGGTATTGATGTTATTGTTACGTAATGCAATACGAGAACCACCACCATCACCAAAGTAAATACGTACAGTTAGCTGACGTGTATTCAAACCAAGATACTCAATTAATCGAAAGAACTTTCTTCTAGACAAGCTTTCTTGTGCCTAAAAATAATTTACAGTATTAAAACAAAAAAATATATTACTATGAAAAATAAAACAACAAGAAAGATAATAATGTGTCGATCATTTGAATATATATATATCAGTCAGCTAGATAGCTCCCTGGCTATTTTATATACTATCCATGATTAATCTTAAATCGGATTACGTTAACTAATCCTATTTTTAACCATCAAGTGATAAGCATATCTTAAACAATTTGTTAACAGTTACATTAATTAGCCCTACATCAAGGTTATAAAAAAAACAACAGAAATACAACAATAATGAAACCTTTCATAACCACTGTAACTAACAGTTTAGCATAGGACTGTTCCGGTTGTTCAGCCTTTTAATATCTATTGTTTTTATGAGATTGACAGTTCAGATATTAATAATAATAATAATAATAATAATAATAATAATAATAATAATAATAATAATAATAATAATAATAATTTGGCCTTTTGTAGACAATTACAACCAGTTCACTATTTCAGCTTGAGAAATTATGTTGAACAGTTCTTAACTCAAAGTCACCGAGTGGATGAATGTATACTCTGACTTGTAACAAAAATTAATCTTACGGTTAGCATTCCATTCACTGTTTTAACAATCGAAACATATTCATCATCATATGTATATATATATACTTACCATAAAATTAAACTGTTTTGAATCTGTATTCTTCTTTGGATAATTATGTAATTCAATATTGGTGATGGACATAATTGAATGATTATTAATAGAATTACGATTTTCATATAATGTTTTACACCATATTCCAAACAAATAACATATAGATGATAATTTTCTATAAAAATTCATTTCCACTATATTATCATGTATATAAAATATTGATGAATGTAAAATATTCAAATAAAGATTACAAATAGATGATTCGAGCTATTAAACAAAAGAAACAAATCAAATAACAAGAGATTAGCAGGAAACAATATATAATTGAGATTTTTTTAAAAAGTATTTGTTTGAAAACCGAATGGGGATCAGCCCCAAAATGCCCTGGTACGGCCAAAGGTGAAGAGAGTTAGCTCTCTAAAAACGAAATGCTCTCACATAGCCACGTCCATACAACCATTCACAAGGAAGTCCTACTCACTGCCTTCTCACATAACGGGTGCTATTTACGAAATGAAGAGGATGGAAAGTGAGTGACGAGCGCTTTAACCGGGTTGATAGATACGGATGATACACCTAAGGAAGTTAGAAAACCCCGACTCCAAACCAATGGTGTACATTGGCTCCAGAATCCTGAGAGAACAAACGGCATATGAACCAATTGTTCGTCACCGGTTACCATGGGACTGCATCTCCTGACGTTGCTCCACTACCTTGTGGACCACAGTCAGTCTGTCAGTAACAACGTAGAACTTCGTACGTACGTACATCAATTCGAGTTGCCACACCACATTAGTACAGAGATGCAGCTGTCGATTGAATTCCTTAATTCATATGTTACGATTTTAAATGATGTACTCAGCCTCAGATCTGACCAATTTTATGGATTATTTATTTGGATTTATAAGTGTAGAACGTGATGAGAAATTATTGAAAAGAATAATCTTCGTACATATTATTGTGTTTTGTGATTTTAATGGTAATCTGACTAAGAAGGATCCATGATGCAAAATATGAATAATAATAATAATAATAATAATAATAGTAATAGGACTTACTTGCTCGGTTGCTTCTATTAAATATATCCTAGCATCTAATAAACAATGTTTAGTCTGTGAATTCCAACCATTTAATAAGCGTAAATCATTCAAACAAAATCGAAAATTTAATAAAATAAAATGATTAAACAGAATTTTACTGTCAACATTATCATCATTCAACAGATTTGATGGAATTATTCGTGATATTGGTGAAGATAATGAATGTAAAGATGTGTAAAAATCAGATGTCGTCTGAAGTGTTTCAGCATATTGACTACATTTTATAGAATTAGGCACATTGAATTCCATAGATAAATGAGACGAAGTGAAATAGAATTGGAGACTTCTGTTCCAAGAAAAAAGAGAGGAAAGGGAGGTAAAATTAAAAAGATGTGAATGAGGTCGAGATTGTTCTACTAAAATATAGTTTGACATTACGAACTGACTTCAGCTAAGCGATCACTGAATAGCTGTTTCATCATCGCATCCTCCTGGTACTTGTTTAGTAGCGTGCATCTATGACAGAAACATCAGAACTAACTCAGGGACTTTGAACCAGATGGCCGTGAGCTATGTTTAGACCAGTAAGTTTAAAGCCAGAGGTTCCCACATTTCTAACTTGAATTCAACTGCGACATTGTGCAAATAGCATTCAGCGATTACTGACTCGAACTCGATACGATTCGACCCCATTGGTTTCGGCTTTCTACAATTTCGGAAGTTCTTTTTACAGCTAGTCATAATTAAGCCTCAAGGTCTTGGGTCATTTTTGTGTACCACTAAAGAGTCCCTGGTTTCCAAAGATTGTTCAAGTGGTGCAAACTAACTTTCAAGATATTTGGGTGTATGCTCAAGAAACCAAATCAATATTATCGGCACAGATCAATAAGATAACTCGTAAAGTCTTAGATGCTTATTCTATCAAATAATTATACCAACCAATCACTGAGTAGAAACCAGTCATATTTACCTAGTTCTCAGTGCCAATCGAGTTCTGATGAGGAAGTTGCAATATGATCAATCATTAGTCAGACTGATCGATACCATGTGCACTCTTCCAACGTCAGATGAAGGCAATTAATAGGAATCCCTAGACTGTTATTATTTTTTACTGTTGTCATTTTCGATATAGAAATAAATTGACGTTCCTCTAGTGACTGATAGAAATGTTTTAAGGGTAAATTAAAGAGGGTATTGACTAGGGTAAAACTAATTGATTGATTTGATTTAAAAAGAAAATTTTCAGAATTAAATAATTCTATAATAATCAAAAATCATGTAAGATTCAGTTACCACCTACCAAACAGCTAAATTAGAATGCTGCTACTAAATATAACCAACTCATATATATGATCACGCACTTATATTACTTATAAATTAAATACGAAAGCCGAAATCACTGTATCTGAACACCAGGAAAAGATTGACATTGGTTCAGAGCCTGGTATAACATGTATGTTTCACTGACTCTACCTGTTACTATTTATATTAGTAAATAATGAATGAAAAATCGATGGAACACCGAATCAGTAGTCAGTGCACAGTGTAAATGACTTTCATAACAAATTAAGTCATGGGTTCGAAGCACACATAATTTGCTTTGTTAATATATTATTGATTAATTAACTTGTGCAAATTTTTGTACTTGGGTATGAGGCACACATAAAATGTGATAGTTAATAATATTACCCGGGTGTCCAAACCAAAGTAGGTGGGACGGAGTTTGAACCTGGGACTCGGTGGCCAAAAGTCGAACAACATTATTACCCCATTAAATCACACAGTACTATTATTATTATCTTGTACCTAACACATTTCACGTGCGTGAATGCGCAATTAAGTAAATTGGATGAGTAATGGTGGAAAAACGGAAAACCAATGAAATATTGACACACACAATTCACCTGTTAAATGAATATCTAATTATTTCAAAATAAAATCCCATCTCAGGTACAACTGAACTTGTTAACGATGATGATGATGAGGAGAATTGTGATTGTATCTGTTCAAAATGATGACTATCATTGAAACTGAACAATGGTAACGGTAAAAACGAAATGCATAATTTTATGGAATTCAAATATTGTTGAACACATTGAAAATTTGATTTTAATGAATTATCAGATATAATATTCTCCGATGTTTGTTTTAAATAACAAGATTTATTATTTTTAAAAGGAAATGATGAATGCTCCAGAATTTGTAAAGTATCCTCTTGATGATTAATGGTAAATTGATGACAATGAGGACATTTTGATGTAAGCGATGACGTTTGTGTGGTTAAGATAGATGTTTGATTTGTATAAAGTTTCCAACTCAACAAATCTATAAGCTCTACAGAATGTAATAATAGAAAATAAGTTGAAATATAAACATGTAATATTCTAATAAAAAAATTTCCATCTTATTCGTAAACAAAAACAGTACATATAGGCGAACATTGTTTTCAATGATTATCTTAATCAGGGGATTTTTACTCGAATATACTTAAATAATAAGTATATGTAGGTTGTATTTGTAACCGGTTAATATCAATTTGGGGTACTATTAAGAACTATAAAATATTGAATAGTTTCTTCTTTCTAGTATAGTGATAAGTCATTTATATGGACATTTAGTACTGATCATCTCTCAGCTCGTTCCTACTATTCCCAGACCACTTCTGCACTTGAATTAAAAAACAATAGAAAAAAGGCATCAAATATGAGTGAAAGCTTTAATTCAAAATTAATCTGTGTACAGGAAATCGAGTTTATTTATACATTTTCAAGTGGCCTTCATCTCCTGGAAATATCCTGAACGTAGTAACGAAATAAGTTGTCCGGTCAAAACGTGACACATAATCCTTTATTGTTTTCAGACGTTTCTGAGAAACTTTTATCCAACGCTGATTGGATAAAACATTTTCAACCTTTTCTGGATGTTTATAATGTTTTGAACCACTAACATATAGTGCTTATCGGAAGTGTGCACACATCACCCCAACAGGGTTTGAACCCAGCCCCAGGGTCTAATGGTATATTTTACCATACATATGTGTTAGAACTAAGATTTAGGCAGTAGGATTGAGATTTATAGGTTAGGGTTTAGGATTCAAGATTAGGTTTTACGGTTAATCTGTATGTACACTAAATCCAAAACTCTACATCTTAATTGCAACCCTACAAAAAAATTACCTAAGTCCTAGTAGTATATTATCATTTATACATATTTGCTGGTTACTGATTGCCTGGACTAAATAAAGCATTTGTCACGAACATTTAGAGAATACCTCAAATTCAACCTCATAGTCTAGCTTTAGTAAAAAGGATTTTTATTAAATTACCTTCTAAAATTGCAGTACGTAGTCCATACAATTTTAAGTCGACCGATTTTACGAACCAACCATTTAATGATGATAGTGTTGCATTATTGAAATTTCGACATTCCAATGAAATATTAGTGGACAACTGTAAACGAAGATGACCCAATATGTGAGCGTTTTCAAAGATAACATTCCAATTTTTATTGAATAAATCATCACTTAACCAAGCTTCCATGAACACAGGTATACATAGTAACTTTCCACAAATATGGGATACATGTAGATTTACATGAGCCCTTATAAAACCATATAAAAAAGATGGATGTTTTATTAGACAAAAGAATAATTAGAAATGATGTGATATGAAAAATGTCTAGCCAACATTATAAATAAACTTTGTTAAATTTTCATGGTTTACATCACAGACTGATTTAGTTAAACAACTAGTGGAAAGTAGAAAGCATTGGACAACTGTTGGGACTCTGCAGTAGCGGACATCTGAGACCCCACCCAGGGACCGAACTCAAGATCACTGGATATAAGCACTTGCTGAGAGACCCGAAATTCATATGTTCGATGCAGTGACGGATGGAGATTGCTAAGAGAGTCCCATAAAAGAACTAAATACCTCCTTAATGCTTCCTATACTTCAATCGTATTCTGAATAAGCTCAGTCTATGATAATGACAAAATTTAAAAATCTTCATAATGATGTACAGTAAGCCTTAAGATTTACATAAAATGAAAAAATAAACATAACGAATAAGGAAGACATCAAAATGAATAAGATTGTTTGGTATTAATTTTATTTAAATCCTATCCCTCAGGTTTATCATGCAACCATAATGCTAGACACTTTAACAGTCATAGCATTCACTCGAGGTGTACGGTCAGTCAGTTATTAACAAAGTAGAACTTCGTACGTAATTACATCAGTTCAACTGGCCACACCACATTAGCACAGAGATGCAGTTGTCGATTCACATCCTGTAGTGTTAGAGGTAGTAAGAGTATAAGCAGTAATCGGAAACATTAGGGTTTGAAGATGTTAATTCAAGGAATATAATCCAGTGAAATTAGTTTGGAAAGAAAAAAGGATATGGAGAATTCAGAAGATTAGAATTCGGGAGAACACAAAGAGTGGATGCACCTGCGCCATTGCAAACGATTTTGAGCCATATCATTCAAGGTCTCTAACCGTCGCTTGCTATCACCTCGCGGATCACAACCAGGTAGTCTACACCTACCAACATGGCTCAGTCCGCTTGTCAGTGACTTCATGGACTTTTGCCATTTTTTGGTCTGGCCGCCCCTAGCTTTCTTCCAACCTACTCCTATACCACTGAACATCGCACGTCGAGGCATTCGGTCGTTGGGAATACGTAACACGTGTCCCAGCCATCTCAACTGATCAAGTTTCACTACTTCATCAATCGATTTGCCATCCTTACCTAGTACCCGTTTCCTAACACCTGCATTACTTACTCGGTGGTCCCAGGATATACGAAAAATGTTTCAAAGATACCTATGGTCGAATACTAGTAACCTACGAATATCCTCTTCCCTTACCAGCCAAGTTTCACTTCCATAAAGTAGGACAGAACAAACCGCTGTCCAGTAAACTCGTCCTATGCTTGTTAGTCGGATATTTCACCTACGCCATAAATGACGCGAGTTGGCATAAGCTAGTCGAGCCTTCTGTATCCGTGCTGAGATTCTGTCACACACCAGACCACAAGGGCTGATGAGACTCCCAAAATAAGTGAAGCGGCCAACACGCTCAACTACTTCACTCCTTATCATTAATTTGGATGTCGATGCCACCCAATCCTGAAGTAATATTCTGCATTTCGAGGGGGAGAATTGCATCCCGAACATGCTTGCATCGTTGTTGTTATGTAATCGGCCGTAAGAAACATCAGGTCTGACAATTAAAAAACGATCATGTCTAAGTAATATTTCAAGAATAGGCCCTTAGTAGCACGGAGTAGTCTGAGATTTGAGAAAATTGATAATCCATAATACGATAGAACCCGTATAAATCTCCCGAATAAATCAGAGGCGACATTCAATGAAATTAGTTTTATTATTTATTATTAATTGCATTCACAATTGCAGATCCCAGCATGTGTGCAATCTAAATAAAGCAAGAGTTTTATATAGCTGACTATAGTTATAAACTACAAAGCAGAGAAATGACTTAGTTCGATCTTATCAGACAAAATTATAGTTGATAGGGAGAACTTCGATCAGGCATCAACGTTTTAAACTATTATCGGATAAGGTTGGAGTTTGAAGTAAGATAGAACATCCAAATCAGGAGCGAGAACTAAAGATGGAGTGATCAATCCGTAAAATAATTAAGACGGGTAAGATTATAAACACTACCTCCCCACCTCCCAAGTGAACCTGGCCAGATAATGAATTAAGATTACTTTTATGCCGGATGCCTCAGCTTTAAGATCCAATAATTTCTCACTTAAAATTACAGAACGATAGATTCTCTTTGTGGTTTTTGATAATTCACCGATGTATCCTAAGGTTAGGAGTAAGGTACAAATTGGATACATCAAGCCTTTATTGGAGTAGTTAAAGCAAACAGTTATGAAAGCCTAGTTCAGCATCTAATGTTAGCTGACACAGACTTATATCTGAAAAAGACCAAGGAGCATTGAAACAAACATAAAGCATCCCCAGCAAGACTGCCTTTCCTCAAAGGGAGTGGTTTAAAAGCAGTTTACCTGAAAATGACACACATCACCTTTCATCACTGATTTACGTGGATAACGGTAAGGCCTTAAAAGTACGACGCTAACACATCTAACACTACTCACATAAAGACTATGTGTGACCAGTATTAAGCACTGTGCTCATACTCTCAAGTCATCCGGACCACTCATAACCCGTGTTCTTGCTTAGATACCTTCAGGAAAAAGTATCTTTACACGGTGTAGGCAACCAGAGTAACAACCGACTTGACACTTCTAACAACACTACAGATCACCTTGTACACATTTAAGCCCAATCTATATCGCCCAATGTTACTTTTATTTTCACTAGCGACCCTCGTCTTCTGTCTTTAACTTCTTTTACATGCCAACAGTCCTGAGTATGGTATGACGAATTGGGCCAATGCACACTTTTGCCAGGCTTTACGATTATGAAAAATGATTGAATGTGAAATTAATTAACTAGTTGTGTAGTAATGATAACAATAATGATAAGATCGTCAATACACAAATAAAAACATACTGTCTCATACTGATATGAAATAACATTGTTAGCTGTGTCATTCGTAGAGTTAAAGCCAATTTACTAGTTTTATTCAAACGGAAGCTTGTTTGACGATTAAATTGAATAGGTTGATAAACACCACTTAAATCATTGATATGAATTAAGCAGTGATGACAGACAGATCCATTACTGTTATTATTGCGTGCACCATCCTCAGTCTTTTTATAATTCGAATATAAAACATCATCCAGAAAGTTGGTCGATAATGCTACTATTTGTATGGATGATATATCAATTGAAATGAACTGCAGGAGAGAAAAAATATTTTTTTAAAGTATCAGAACCCAAACGCTTAATCAATTTTCTTTGAAAATTGATCATTCCTGTTTAGAACACATTTATTAACATTTTCGATAGGAATCACGCACATGCGCCTATAAACTGATTCGTCATCACAGAAACTAGCATATACACGACTCCGTGCATGTCGAATTACCGAGCACGTCGATAACGCTACGTACACCATATACTGATGGAAATTACTTTGTAAAAACAAAATTTTTGTCTAAAACTTTCCCCACGCTAGCAGTTACAAAATGACATTATTTTATGGTCATCATCAGTTATGAAGTTTGGGCACCCAGGCAGTATCATAGCCCACACACAAATCAAGTGACTTGTGTGACGCATATGTATTCGGTGCCTCTTCGTACCAATATTTATAAGTTCAAGTAAATAATAAATAAATAAGGTTAAAAAAGGCAACCAATAACCGTTGAAGGAAAACTGGACAAAATTGGCGGCTATAGAAAAATTATGTGCAAAAACTAAAAAACAGTGGGGAATAGTATGTATCTTATCTTTTAAAAAATAAGTAAATCCTGTCTAACTTTTATGCAACCACACAATGCAGGCTAGTTTAAAAGATATACATGATCTATATGGATATTGTATCTGACAGTGTATGATGTGATTCAGATCAAAATCAAGGGTGTTTTGTGATTAAAATGTATTTTCAAGCGCTAGCCACATATTAGTGTTATGGCGGGATGAGCATTGGAAAATTTGAACCTTCAGAACTGTCTTACCTGAAGTTAATATTTATATTTTAATTCTTTAATTACTAAATACTTAAATTATTGTATTCTCTTGCTTGTGAGTGCTTCCGTAATGCACAAACTTTGATTGTGTTGTACCTTTCTCAAGTTACTGTTAGTTTATAACAAACCTAGTACTTAACTGTCGCCCACTTTGGTATAGTAATGCTGTTATCACTTAGATTACACGGTCATTAATGATAGATAACGTACTACAAGGAATTTACCAGCCTGTATCTTTATTAAACAAAGTTCGAACCAATAAATTCTAGCTTCATGAACTGATATTATACCTTGACACGATTTCTGTGATCTTTTTCAGCCTATCCTACAGTCAGTAGTAAAGTGCACAATGGTAGTTAATGGTCGAACAAAAGTAACACTTGCTCCAATCGTCTTAATCGAACACTCGTAACCAATGTTTATCTTTTACCTTCATAGAACGTATACAGTGGGAGCAATCATCGATGAGCTGGTATGAACGAAGTTAATACTCGCCACAATATCTAAATCAAGTGAGTTAGTAACGTTACATGAATTTCATTTCAATCAGTAAAATTAGAACGGCAATCACAACCTAATGCGAATTAATTGTTTCACAGATTGTTATGACTCATCTGTATTTTCCAGATAGATAATTGAAACATGAACTTATGTCTTACAGATTTAAGACCCATATAATTAACACCAAAGTTAACATAATATAATCCAAATGATGAATAGCTCTTTTTCCATCCAAACAGTCTTCTTTTATTTACTTACGTATTTCTCGTGTTGGATTATCCACTAAACTGACGTGATTGACAAGATCCGATTAAACAAGTAAATAAACCTATATTGATCGTAGTACTTGATTACGAGATTTTAGCATAAATGTTAGGTCCCATGGAGAGAGAAAAAGACATACTATCATGTACTGAAACTGATTCACTAACTACATACAAACAAGCTCATAACGTTAATACAATGTTCCCAGTATTACTTAATGGATATCTGAAGCAAGCTAACTTTAAAGGATATAAAAACGCTGAAGAAATGAAGATTTATAAAACACCTCTCAACTTCACTCCCTAAAAATTATGTAGATGGAAACAATTAAATCTCCTGACTGTTTTACGGTGACAAAAATAAATGTTTAACCATCTATTTCGCTAGATAGTGTCAAATTAATTCAAGAATGTCTTTTTCAAAATACTTAGAAAAATGCAATATTACCCATAGACTCAAAAATCTTTGCTTACAAGAAATCAAAACATGACCTACCGAAACCAGTCTTATTTTCCATGACATGAAGCCTTTATTCAGACGGGTTCTGATACCGTCACCTTTGCGCTGCATTAATTTGATAATACCATGAAGACCGGTGTCAGTAACATGAAATTCAGCACCAGTTATCCAAACAGACAACAAAGTCCTTTTTAAATTAAGGTATATTAGTATGAAACTTACTTAGCTTTAGGATTCCATAAGCTACTGCTAAAATATATAGAATCCACATACTAAATCATTACTATCTTAATGAGGGATATTTACCATGCACTCTCCGTTTATGAAAGTGAGAGTAACTCCACGTGCCCAAATAAATCCAAACCTTTGAACGGTGAGGATACATGGAATAAATTTATTAAGAAATGTCGTTAGAACAATAACCAGAACTCTGAAATAAATATGGGAGTTGATTAAAATTACTTTGGGGTTATGTAAACTGCGAGCAACAAAAGCACTAAAGCAACTAACGCCCATTGAGTACAGATTATATCCTTCAAACAATCGAAACAATCCCATGACATAATCAACACTAAAATCAAAGACAACCAAACTCGCCGCCCTCCCCCTCTTCCTATTTTGATTGGCTGAAATGAGTAATTCGTCCTTGTAATTTCGAAAGCACAATTTCAAATACCAAGCTAATAGTTTCACACCTTTCAGTAGGATGAGTCAATTTACAGCCCCCAGTATTTCTGCTTTACAAAATTCATTTCAATGAAACAATCAAAATCACACCAAGGTCATAGTCTGGTCTCAGTTAGGTCTACTCGAACAAAAACAAATGTGCACGTTTCTAAATGTTTATCGAGATGGACTCGGTTGTTGTGTTCTCTAGGTGGTATTGCTCTGATGTTCTGCATCATTTGTAGTAATCTGTTTACAAAACGAGAAGGGTCTACTGTCGTTGTGGGTTCATTCTTGATCAGTTGTCCTGGTAACGTTAATGTCGTTCCATAGAATAGTTCAGCGGCCGTGCATCCGATGTCTTCCTTTACTGACGAGCGAATCTCAAGGAGAACGAGCGATAAAGCATCGCTCCATTTTGAAGAGTCCGGTTTTGCCAGCAGAGAGATTTTTAGTTGGCGATGGAATCTTTCGACCATACCATTAGCTGCCGAATGATAAGCTGTCGTTTTGACATGATTTACTCCAAGGAGCTTAGTGAACTCGTGAAATAGGACGGATTGGAATTGGGGATCGCGATCTGTTGTGATTGTTGATGGTACGCCATAGTTGGATATCCAGCGGTCGAGGAAAACTGAAGCCACTGTCTCTGCCGATGTGTATTTAATGGGGCATGCTATGGCCCATCTTGTGAACCTATCTATTGCTGTGAGGATATGTGTGAAAGAGTTTGATGGTGGCAGAGGCCCAACTTAATCTAAATGCACGTGCTGGAAGCGTTTGTCAGGGGTAGGGAACTTCTCAATTGGACTTGACTGAGTCTTAATGCGTTGGCACTGGAGTCAGCTACGTGTCCAACGTTTAACGTCCGAGTTGATTTTCGGCCACAAAAAACGTTCGGTAATGAGCTTTGTTGTTGCTGTGATGCCTGGATGTGAAAGACCGTGCAAGTGCTGAAATATTTTTCGTTGGCAGGCGTGTGGGACAAACGAACGATTGTTGCCTGTTGAGGTGTCACACATGATGAATGCATCTGAAAGAGGAATTGGTACAGGTTTGAGATTTAAGCCAGACTTTTCTTTGCAGACTTTCAATTCTGCATCGTCTACTTGAAGTTTAGCCAAGATTTCAAGGCTGACGTCATGATTGAGTACCATCGTATTGATAACCCTTCTAGATAGTGCATCTGCGACAATGTTTGTGTGACCTTTAATAAACCTGATGTCTGTAGTAAATTGGGAGATATAATCAAGTTGTCTTTCTTCTCGTGGGGAGTGTTTGTCATACGATGTGCTAAAAGATTGGCAAAGAGGTTGATGATCTGTCATAATGATGAAATCACGACACTGTAGCAAGAAGTTGAAATGTTTTACGGCTAAATACATAGCTAGAAGTTCGCGTCCAAAGGTACTATAACGTTCTTGTGTTGGCGATAATCTCTTGGAGAAGAAGGCAATGGGGGTAATCGTGTTGTTTACCCGCTGTTGTACTACTGCCTCGACTTCGGGCTCACCAGTGTAGATCATCAACGTAGATGATCTATATCGAAAATTATTTTAGACGTCCTCGAATTAGACGGGAATTCTGTGACGAACCAGCTAACGTCGAAGTCACACTTCGTGATCAGCACCTAACCTGGACTACCCCATTGACGTATCAAGGTAGCATAGATGCTTTGAAGACTGTACAACACAGAAGACGTTATTACAGTAATATATTAGTTAAGGTAGATACAAGCTAAAGTAAGACCACTGCCGCATGGGCCAGTTCATGGCATACGATTAACTGATGCGCGTTGGTCGCCCCTGACCTTGACGGGGATTGATGATTTGCTCGATATTCAATAACCCAACTGCCGGATAATTTGGCTAGGGCTTAGTGACATTTCGCTAGCCCTACAACCTTCTCCTGCGAGATCCTGGAAGGGCTTCATTAATACATTTCTGTCCGAGTCTAAAAGAAAATGTTTCAAGTTTTTTGGATTTTCAAAATTTCCGGAAATATACATCATAGGGAACTGGGTGGTTTTTAACGACATGCTACTGCCTGAAATGGTGGATTACTACAGGAAAATCAGACTTATTCAAAATTTTGACGTACATGGGAAATCGGTCGTCGAAACACACTACGATCAGAATAGATGGAAATCAGGGATAGTTGCACAAAGACTGAGCAGAGTTCTGCGCAACATACAAGGGGACTTCAGAGCAGACATTGGACATACGAACCAAATCCATAAAGGCAAAAGAACGATGATTGATAGAGATAGTGAATTGCAACTACCAATGGAGATAATTATAAACACTTCGATGATGGAAACTTCCCCGGACACCATAAAAAAACAAGGCAAGACAACAAAAAAGATGAAGGCCAGTTATCAAGTCACAGGTAGATCCCAACAGGAAATCTTATTGTGGAGAATTGTAGTGATAACTCCAAAAATGCGCGACGAACCCTCCCGAGGCCGTATACCGTAATAGGTGTAATCAAGTAGAAAACATAACAAACCTAAATCTTCCCTGAATTTTATTACCGGTTTAGTTAAACATAGGAAATCGATCAAAGAATTCGTGTTCATCGTTCATTCTTCATTTGTTCGTCCATCATCCGTGGTGAAGTCAGATTTCTGTCACACAAGTGGTGGGTCTGGCTCATAGGGTACTAAATTTGTCTGCTTGATATCAAACATGACTCATTCTTCCAAGACATACTGCCAAAATATTATTCTCAACCTCCAGCATCGGCAAGCTTACTCGAAATAGTATTCCGAAGCAGACGCAGACGGTATATTCATCACACTCTAGAAAGACAGCGAATTCAGTGCAGCGTAGCAAAAACGCATCTATGAATCATATTATTTCAAGTATATTTACTATGTACTAGTTCTTCTTATTCATGTATTTCGTGGACTAGCCCATTGAGATTATTACCATGTTCAAGTTATTATCATAACGCTGTAGAATTATTATCATTATTCATATGGATATCCACTCAATCATATAATATGCCAATCACATCACGATATAGTGAAGAATAAGTACACGTTATGGCATTAGCATCACACTGAACTATATTTAGCTATTAATAAACCGCTTAAATGATATGTGCCCCATTTTTCCACATTATTTCGACTCGCATGATTAGATTTTTGTCCATGTAACTAGGGTTATTTCTGTTTTGCCACAACATACGCTCATTTTACTGTTCCACATAATTCCTTAAATGTTTGTGGAAGCCACTAATTTCAATGAGCTTGATATCAAGACTGATAGTCGTTATATTTTCCGCAATCTAGCAAAATAATGGCTTAAAATATATATCTGAGGTGCAAATGTAATTATGTACTTACTAAGAATTCCCGAAATAGTAAAATTTGAAGCAGGTAGAACTAAGTGAGCTCGAATGATCGTATTATATTCGGAATTCGTAAACTGCTGGTAATCAAGTACAAAGGAATCATTAGTTCATACGAATACCACAAAGATAACCCGTTTAAGCTACCTGATCGCCAGTCGATGGTATTGTAGTGTCAGTCATTATTTTAAGCCTATAATATGTAATGACTTACTTTTATCACGAGAACACGATTGGTTTGTAGAATTATGGTCTACTATGATATTAGTACTGCTCTAATAATAGACCTAATCCTAAATTTGTAGATTTGTCATGATATAACTGCCTAATCTATAAGATCTTACGTGGAAGTCACACCGTCGACTACACCAACTCACTGTATCATATCAATTACCAATACATGATGTAGAACAAGGTTAGGCTAGAGAAAGAACAATATATTTAATATGAATAGAAGATATAAGGTAACATTCAGCAGAGACCACGCCTGCATGACCGATCCATGCCGTTCGATCAACTCTAATTCCTTCAATTCATTGTTCGCGCCTTCTCCATTCTTAGGTATTTCTCCGTGTTAAATATTGAATACCTATTTTCTGAGTAGTCTTGTGTTCAGCTTTGAAGATTGTGAGGTTATGGTCTAATGCCACTACCGGTTTAATGGAAACAATTATTTTTATAATAACCAATTGTACCTGTGTTTGTTTGATGTGCTCTTTGTTTAACTGTGCTAATGACAGCTATATTATGCTTCCATTTTTATTCTTACACTTCGATTGTGACCTCGCGCGAATCCGGTTACGCTCAGTAACCAAGCTTGTATCCTGGTGCGATCTCGGTATTTTTTCGATACCACGAGATAGCCAGCAAATATTTGGCTTCCGGGGGATTTTATGGATTTATTTGGCATGTGTTTCTCTGTGGCGGTGTTCATAGTCAACAGTGACTCGAAGCCACGCTACAAATATATCTTACTCTAGTTTTTGGACAAACCAATCTTTTCATTCCACTTGAGTCATATTTTGATCTTGTCAATTATTCGCTTATCAGTCTTGACTGTTTTTATATGAGCGTATATGTGTGTACACTTCATATCCCATGTCTCATCACATGTCTGTAGTTTATTTTGTCTGTCTGTAAACATTACGTAACGCATGGCTAGAAATGGAGTTGGTGTAGCGGTAAATAAATCCCCAAACTAAATAGCTCAATAGGTTTTCGACATTGGATGCTGACCATATGTTTTAGTGGACTCAACTAGCTGAAGGCGCTCGGTCATGCATCCGCACCAGATCACGTGCTGTCACGCTGTGCTCAACAACAATCGCAATCACTAGCCAGATTAGATCAGAGATTCCCGATATATTGGTTATCGCCAAATACACTCTTCCGATCTCCTCGACTCTGTCTTTTGATTTCTCTCGGTGGGAACAAAGCATATTAGAAGGTGTTATTGGTAGAAGCGTTGTCAAACACTGAATACCTGTATCATCCTCATTGGTGAGACCGTCGTGATCTGGTACACCTAATTTCAACTGTGAGTCTGTTCCTTTTTGGGATTTTTATATATCATTACCTTATTTTTTTTAAACATTGTGAT